GGCTGCCCCGTGCCCAGCGCCCTGGACCCCCTGCCCCGGCCCCGCCCCGGCCGCCCGCCGGCACCTGCTTGGAGACTTTGAGCCACGTCTTCTTCAGCCGGAAGATGGCGCTGCGGTTCATGGAGGAGATGATCTCCAGGACGGCGTTGTAGTTGTGCAGGCAGCGGCAGATGTCGGCCACGGCCACCCACTTCTCGATGGCGCTCGCCCGGGCGCCGATGTCCTCGTTCCGGATGATTTCGGATGCGATCAGGTTACTGATCTGGAAGCCCACGCGATACGACAAGAAAAAGAAAAAAAACGGGTGAGAGGAAGGAGTGTCGTCAAGGGGACGGGTCACCGGGATCTGCGGACGATCTGAAAATCCCGAAAGAGCAGCTGAGGGCTCCACAGACAGGCGTGAGACGCTTTCCTCAGTATGAGGCAGACCAGTGAGGGGACACAGCGAAGACCGATGATCTTCAAACTACCGGCGGGAATCTGTGAGTTACCTGGGATGCAGGTGGGACGGGATATGAAAAACAAACAAGCAAAACGCAGGCACTGAAGGCTATCATAGGTCTGAATAATGAAGAAAAAGGTCAGCTTCCCAAAGGGAAATAGAGAGATGCCCTTTTTCTTTAAAAAAAAAAAAAAATTTTTTTACTAGAAGCCCCATGCACAAAATTCACGCACGGGTAGGGTCCCTAGGCCTGGCCCGTGATCAGGGCCATCTGTGGGGCGACTGGCCGGGCGATTGGGGTGTGGGGGGCCCTGCTGGCACCCACTTTGGCAGGCCTGGGGCCTGCAGGCTGGAGGCAGCTCCTGTGTTGAGCGTCTGCCCCCTGGTGGTCAGTGTGTGTCATAGCAGCCAGTCGTTCCACTGGTTGTTCTGCCGGTCGATTTGCATATTAGGTTTTTATTATATAGGATTGATGTCAGAGAGGATGGGAGAAGGGGAGATAGAAACATCCATGATGCAAGAGAGCCACCGATCGGCTGCCTCCTGCATGCCCCCCACTGGGAATGGAGCCCTCATCCCGGGCATGAGGCCCCGACCAGAATCGAACCCGGGACCCCTCCATCCAAGGGCTGACGCTCTATCCATTGAGCCACACTGGCCAGGGCAAGACGCCATTTTCCAAAAGCAACGCATGACGCACGTTATCCTAAATGGGGACATAGGAGAGGCCTCTCGCTAAATCCACGAACGAGATGCACTGTCTTAGGGGCCTGGACTGGAGGCCGCTGGTGGGGCAGCAACAGCCACGGGAGGGTGGCGGCCCCTTGGGATCCGCCCCTGAGCACCTGCCTGCCTCGCCCGCCCGGGTGCTGGCCCAGAACGAGGTGCTAGCCAGGCTGTCAGGCAGAGAGAGGACCTGAGGCCAGAGGGACCAGAAACAGCAGAAATGTCTGCCAGGAGGTGAAGCAGTCTCAGGCCACGCACGGCTAACCCGCCACGGAGGAGCGTATACTGTGTCGGAAAGAAACGGAAGAGCCGGCGTGGCTCAGTGGTTAGCGTCAACCTACGAACCAGGAGGTCAGGGTTCGATTCCCGGTCAGGGCACAGGCCCGGGTTGGGGGCTCCATCCCCAGTGGGGGGCATGCAGGAGGCAGCCGGTCCATGATTCTCTCTCATCGATGTTTCTGTCTCTCTCCCTCTCCCTGCCTCTCTGACATCAATAAAAATGTATTTTTAAAAAAAATGAGCACAGCAGGGCCCTCACCCTGTCCCTGCCAATCTCCTTCCCTCATGTGGGCGGTCTCACCAGGAAGCTGCTCG